TCTCTCTCTCTCTCTCTCTCTCTCTCTCTCTCTCTCTCTCTCTCTCTCTCTCTCTCTCTGTGTGTGCGGCCAATTCGGGGGTCAGGGGTGTATGATCCGACCCACGACATAGCTGACGCAGTTGTTGTTGTATCTAATTTGATGTATGTGGTGAAAAAAGGGTCATGGATCCAAGGTCAAAATATGAGGATCTGTGCAGGTCTTTGAAGGTCGTGGAAAAGAACGATAAGGGGAGGAAAAAATGCAAGGCTGATAAGAAAAAGGACAGGAGAGAGCATCGCAGAAGCGGATGCGAAAAAACCAAAACGAAGCGGACGCACGGCCGTAGAAACGGACCACTTGTTTCTCTTCCATCACGGCACAAACAGATTTCGAAGCTGAAAGAACGCAATGAAACACCCCCAGCAACTCCCGTCGGGAGTAACCGAGCGAGCGGCATCGAAAATCGTCCACCAAAAGCGTCAGAGAAGAGGTCGCGAGAAGAGAGAACACCGAAGCAAGATCACAGGACGAAGAAGAGAATCACATACAAAAAAGGACAAAATTGTGGAGATGATCGATCTCAGAGGCTCGGACGATTTGCACAGCGCGGTCCGAGAGGAAGCAGAAGATGAAGACGAGCAGTCCATATCAGAAAAGACAGACGGAGAGGAAGACGAGGCAATGAGCGACGAGGGAAGTGACAGTGAAACTTCCAGTGAAGATTCTCATGATGCTGCCGAGGCCGATGGCGAGAAAGAGAGGAGCAGCGACGACACAACGCAAGATGAGGACGACGAAGAAGCAGATGAAGACGGGAGGGGTGCGGAGGAGAGAGAGATTTCACCATCTCTGGAAAGAACGCGATGCACAAGCGAACGATTGCAGAACAAGGAGAGAGACGCATGCGACACGCCCCCGAATGACAGACAACTAGTGAGGAAGGAAAACGAAATTCAAGAAGGTGAGCAAAGTGTGCTAGAGTTGCTCCCCTTGCAGATAGTCGCAGTCATAAGGGCGGAATATGCTGGCATATCCATGACGCGAGGAAGTTATTGTGCTTTGTTCACTGAATTGTCGATTTTCACAGGTACGAAATTGAATGCGATATTTGGAGTTTTTAATATCATTTTTGCATTCGGATGTGTGTCTTCCAGCAAATGGCATAAATTTGCAAAGAAAACCACACGCGACCGGAGGAGGACATAGACAAGCCGACCAACAAAACGGCGTTTTCACAAAGAAAATGAGGGACAAACTGTTTCGTTCAGTCGCAAAAGTCTTTGCGTTTTCTGCAGCAAAGGACGCAACACTATACCCAACAGAGGACGAATTTTTCACGGCGCTGCAAACAACAGCAAAACTATTAGGGGAGAATGCGGAGGAAGGACTGCGATCACACGTAGCGGAGAGCGGGATTCGAGCGGTGATAGGGGAGTGCAACAGAATGATGACAACAGTGCGTGGAGAGATAACATGGCAACTGAAGCATTGGTTTTGGGCAGAAAAATGTATTTCACTTATGCGATCGCAGTAAACGGATCACCAGCTCCCTACTCGCAACAAGATGCGAGCAGAAATGAAGGACGACAAAACATGGAGACGGAGTGGCAACGATCCTTGGGGCGCACCAGCTCACAAAGGTTTTCCATATGAGAAGGGACGGCACGAACCTTGGCGTGACGCTGCAGCAACTGGCTTTTGCAGAAATGGTTCTGCAATGTGAAATCGGGCAGACAGCAAAGACCAGTAGAGCGGCCGACCAGATACAAAAATTGACATGTATAAAGCACGACATCGCATCATCTGTCCGCAATCGCGACACAGTCATGAGCTTTTCGATCTTCAAGTTGGACCGCGCTCCATCTGTTTCTGAGAAGGTCGTTGCCTTATTTCGAGTTGGCCTGCCCTATGTCTACAGGAGCGGGCCACATAACATAAAGATAACAGATGACGATTTCGACTTGGAGTTCATTGCACCACCTCGTGAGAGAGGCAGAGACGGGGAGAGGGATAGAGAAAGTCTATGTGTCAGACCTTGAACAGTGGGTGGGGGAGGGGAGGGGAACACATTTGTGTGAATCACAAGGTTCATAACGAAATATGCCACCAAGAGTTGCATGAGATCATTGTCATTGCATGCTTGAGAGAGAGAGAAAAAAAAAAAACGGAGATGATGACTGTGAATCACGGTTCGACAATCACTGTACAACATATGCTCTCTTATTTATGAAACAACATTGTACAATCTCTTGTAATGCTCATCATTGTTTAATTCAAGAGTGAGCGACTATGTAATGTGTAATACCATGATGTATGAAGACATCACAGTTTGCAGAGGAAAACAGGAGACCAATGAGAAGACAAGGATCGTTGCAACCCATGACTTGCCTCAGTGACTGTAAATACAACTACCCACACTAAAAACATGACAAGTTGTGGTTGACAAACATCACCCACAGCCTGCAAATGTTATTGGTTGTCGTCAATGTAAGGTTGGTTAGTGCGTGTCACTCGCTCTCTCGGCATGACATGCTGGCGAATTTGTGTCACGTAGTAGTGAACCGTGCTCGTAGCAGGGCAACTCAGCGTATGATTGAGGCTACTACTTGCCTCAATCATATGATTGAACAGCCATTTCGTCAAAACGGACATATTATATTTTTTGAACGAAATCAAAACTGACTTTTTCTGCCAAAATCCGGTCGGAATTTTTTGATCCTGGGGGTCCGGCGTTCCCAAAATGCCGGACCCCTCTGGTCTATGGTTGAGACCAGATACAATTTTTTTTTTTTTTTTTTTTTTTTTTTTTTTTTTTTTTTTNNNATTTGTATAATTATTTTTGCACACACACACACACAGAGAGAGAGAGAGAGAGAGAGAGAGAGAGAGAGATCATTTGTGTAATCGTTTTTGATAGTCTTCAGCTTTGGTAGGATTAGAGCAGATGGCGACAATGGTCAATATGACAGCGTCTTCTCAAAGAGTAGGAGCGGTGCTGTGGTGCATCTCCTCCATTTCATTTGCGGCGATCGTAGTGAGGAGAGGACTGCGCGCCAAATCTCTGTCGAAGTCAGGGGCGATCGCAGCTTTCTTCGTTGGTACTATCACCATGCTTTGTGGCGTAAGGTACATTTTCTGTGAGGTCGCTCTGGGCCTCTCTGCTTCTCCGACCTTTGCTCCCCCTTTTCCTTCTTCCTCCTTCTCCCTCCTCCTCCCTCCTTTTCCTCCGTTTTTCTGCTTCTCCTTCCTCGACTCTCCTCCCTGCTCATCCTCCCTCTGCATCCTTTCTCCTCCCTTCGCATTCTTTCTCCCCCTCCTCATTCTTTCTCCTCCCTCCGCATCCTTGCTCCTTCCTCCTGGTCCAGTTCTCTTGCCCTTCTCCCCTTCTCATTCTATCTCCCCCTCCTCATTCTTTCTCCTCCCTCATCTTTGCTCCTTCCTCCTGTTTTCTTGCCCTTCCCTCTTCGTCTCCTCTCTCTTCTCCTCCTTCCTTCCCCCTCCTTTTCTTGCCCTGACTAATTACTTGAGCAATCAGTCGATCAGTCAATCAATCAATCAGTCAATCAGTTTATTAATCTATCAATCAATCAAACATTTGACGAGCAATCAATCATCTAATTAGTGGAACTTTCAATTATGCAATCAAATTAATTGATCGGTCTATCGCTTGCTAACCGATGGATCGGTAAAGCGGTGGATCGGTAAAGCGATCAACAAGCCATCGGCCGGTCGATCCAATTCAATGACTCCCTGAAGATCAATTCACTGATGATTTTATGCATCATTGAAGGTGTCGATCAATCGATCAATCAACCAACCAATCCACGTCGGGTACAGTCCTAATTAATCAACGAATGTGCGGCGTGCAACAAGATAGCGAGGTAATCAATCAACCAACCAATCCATCTTTGGTTGCTGCATTGCGCCAGTGATTGCCGAGTTCACCGCGTTCCCTTCTTTCGTGATGTTTGTGCATTTCCCATTGATCAGGAGAGCTGTCTCCTTTCCACCATCCCCCACACCCACACCCACACCCACGCCACCCGCCCCCGCCTCTTTACCTCGCCCTCTCCTCACCGTCTGTTTTTTCGCGCGTTCCGTTAGAGCATGTTAGCGATCTGCGTGCGCACTTTTTATGGAACAGGAGTGTCGTCTTCTCTCATCCTGGTCCTTCATTCCTTTCTACTCTCTTTCACCTTCTTCGTTGTCAAATTTCCTATCTCCGCTTTATACCTTGCTCTCTCTCTCTCTCTCTCTCCCTCTCTCTCTCCCTCTCTCTCTCTCCCTGTCTCTCCCGCTCGCCTGTCCCTCTTTCCCTCCCTCTCCCTCTCTCTCTTTCTCTCCCTCTCTCTCTCTCTCTCCAGCTCGCTTCCTGTCCCTCTCTCCCTCCCTCTCTCTCTCTCTCTCCTTGTCGATTGGACCCAGAGTATTGCCCTTTTCTTCCTGCCTCTTCACTTCGTTCTCCTCTCGCTTTGATCATCTCCCTTGGCATGTCTCCCTCCCTTTGTCCCTCTCCCTGTCTCCTTGTCTCCCTGTCTCCCTGTCTCCCTGTCTCCCTCCTTTGCGCTCCTTCTCTTTTCCCGGTCTCTCTCTGCCTAGTACTCGTGTCTATCTTTAGAGTCGTATCATCTCTTCCTCTTTGCTTCTCTGTGCGCCGCTCAATCGACGTCTAGCGGTGTTATCTACCTCGATTTACCCCCTTTCTGCCTGTCTCTCGCCCATCTCTGCCGTTCGTACTCTCCCTTTCCTTTTCCATTTCTCGTCATCGTTCCCGGGTTCATTCCTTTCCATCTCTCTGGTCTTGTCCTCTCTGCCGTCTCAGCCGTCTCTGCCTCTTTTCGTCTCTGCTTTCCCCCTTCCTCTCTCTCTCTCTCTCTCTCTCTCGCCCATATTTGTTCTCCCTTTCGCCATCGTCGCCTCTCTCTATCTGCGCGTCCCTTTGGCTCCCCCCCCCCCAACTTTCCCTCCCTTTCCCCTTCCCCCTTCCCCCTTCCCCGTCTTTCCCGCTCCCCCTCTTCCCCCCTTTCCCCGTCACCCACTCTTCCGGACTCTCATCTCTTTTATCCAGCGACCGGTTATTTGTTTTGTCGTATGTGATGCTATTGTTTACTCTCACCAATTGAACGATTAGTTGGCAACGATCGTCGCACACCCTGATACAATTACTGCCGTGTCCCTGGTTTTACCTTCTTTTACCATAGGCGTCAAGTAAGTAACGCGTGAAATTTTTGTGAAAGAAGGATGCTAACCTCGTCCCTGGTTTTACCTTCTTTTGCCATAATAACCCTGCTTCCAAGGTCGTTCGCGCTTTGGCTTTAACAAAAAGCCTCATCTTACATTAATTGACAAAAAGAGCAACCATGATCGCCGATTTTCGTCTGCCTGGACCTGTGGAAGCGTGTGGGTGTCCAAGTGTGCGCCTGTCTCCGATGTTGTGCATGTGAGCTGTACCCCCTCTTCTCCTGTGAAATTTAACTCGTTACCATAGCGCCCTGGCTCTGCAAGTCAATATCCGTCCCATCCACGAACAATACTCCGGTGTGCTTTGTTTCATCTGGCATAGCATGGGGGCATGTGTATGCACAGGTCTGATGTGTGATGTGCTTGTATACCTGTGCATGTGTGTGAGCGGGTGTTTGCATGGAGTGTGTCGGTGTCTCTCAGCGCGCGCGTGTGTGTGTGTGTGTGTGTGTGTATGTTTGTGTGAAGCGTGGCTATATTTCGATGTGGTGTGTGTCTTTGTGGTGAATGTATGGGACCTTCAGGCGGAAGATCGAACCCTTACCCCCCTTCCCACCGCACGCACACACACACACACACACACAGAGCGAGAGAGAGAGAGAAGAGAGAGAGAGAGAGAGGAAGCGTGTGTATATTTGGATGTGATGTGTCTTTGTGGTGTGGCGAAAGATCGAACCCCCCCCCCCCCCCCCCCCCCCCCACTCCTCTTTTCTCTCTTTTTTTTTTTTGGGGCCGGTTTTTTTTTTTTTTTTTTTTTTTTTTTTTTTTTTTTTTTTAATCTGGTCTCAACCATAGACCAAGGGGGTCCGGCGTTTTGGGAACGCCGGACCCCCAAGAGCAAAAAATTCTGACCGGATTTTGGCAAAAAAAATCAGTTTTGATTTCGTTCAAAAAATATAATATGTCCGTTTTGACGAAATGGCTGTTATTGGTTAGTGCGTCCATCCGTGGAATGAAATACGGTCATCCATTCGATGAGGAAAAAAAAAAGGTTGCCTACTATGTGTCACTCTTTCTCTCGGACTGACATGCTGGCGAAATAGTGTCACGCAGTAGTGAACCCTGCTTGTACCAAGACAGCTCAGCAAATGATAGAGGCTACCACATGCGTCCATCCGTAGAATGAAATACCGCAATCCAGAAGACTCAAAAGAAAGGTTGGTTACTGCGTGCCACTCTCTCTCGCAGACTGTCATGTTGGAGAAACTGTGTCACGCAGTAGTAAACCGTGCTTGTAGCATTGCCCCCCCAGCCCCCCACCCCCCCCAACCATATTTTCCTTTCTCTCTCTCTCTCTATACATATATATATATATATTTGACGATATATATATATATATGTGTGTTTACCCTCTCTCTTATTTTCTTCATTTAGTGTGTATTGCATGTCAGGAGTACTAGAAGACTCAAAGATTGACAAATGTGAACGAGCATAGTGTTTCCTGCAGTAGGAGAAAAACGTGGAGAAGTTGGTCTCCGTACTGGGAAGAAACCGCAAAAACGTACGATACGAGCTCAAATTTCAATTTTTTTCCCTAACAGATAATGCAATGTTCAACAATTGGTAAACAAGTTTTCAACAAATTGACCAACTTTTATACAACTTTTCAACAAATGGATCAACAATTGGTAAACCGGTTTTCAACAACTTGTCAACAACTTTTCAACAATTGGACACACTATTTTCTTTTTACCAAATGTTTTGTCAGCGTTGATTTCCTTCACTTATGGTGGAACACATGACACCCCCCCCGCCAAACAGTTTATTAACACAGTTCCAACTATTGGAAAAAAGGGTCCACATGTGATCATCCTGTCATAAAATTTGCCACAAAATTTATGTTGACAGGTCTCCTCTTCCCTCCTCCTTCCCATCGCGTAGATAAGTGAGAAGACATCCAAGGCTCTGGTGACTATTCGAAAACCGAGTTGAATCTAGTCCACCTCTATGTCGAACTACTCCCTGGTTCACTCCCAATCCTTCCAATGCTATGACATCCAATCCAGTATCTATGTGTGCTGCAACAGGTCAACGTTGAGCCGGAAGATTCTGACGCCTCGCTGGATCGTTGCTCCGGTTTCAAAGGAGGCTAGAAGAGGGCGGTGGTCAGAAAGAGGGTGGATTACGACGTCAACTTCTGTGAGAGAATCCCACGCCTGGCCTCTGACCAACATCGAATCTAGTCTTTGTTTGGGGGGTTCATGGTCTCTCGCTTTCTGATAAGAGAACCACGTGAAGCCGTGTTCCTCCAAGTGTGTGACTCTGTATGCATCCGTTAATAGATAGTGCTCCTCCAGTAAGGTATCTAGGAGGATGGCGTCTGCTCGTTTTGGGCTAAAGTTGAAAAAGTCGAGACCTGGGGATCTGACAACATTGAAGTCGCCTACAAGGATCATGTTGGGGGAGTCAGGCAGCAGAGAGGGGAGTTCGTGTAGGAACGATCTCCTTTCTGCAGCTTTTGAAGGGGCATAGATGAAGGCAAAAAACCAATTTTGGTTTCCTATCGCTGCCTCCACCCAGATCCATTGTCCCCATATGTCTATCTGGTAATTGTGTATGACTATATCCAGGTTCCTGTGGAACACGATTGCAACTCCTCCCTTTGTCCCATCGGCTGTCGACCAGAATTGCGGGTCGGTCCACCATTGTCCCAATCTGCTGATTTTGGCCTCGTCCAACTTCGTTACTTGTAGGAAGATCATGTGTGCTTGAATGTCATAAACCCATGTTTTGAGTCAGGCTTTTTTATACCTGCCAGAGTAGTCCCTTATTCCTCTGACGTTCCGGGTGGCTAGATTAAGCTTGACCATTTGAGTGGACGGATGCGGTCGATACTTGGATGCGTGGTGTAGCCTCTGTGACAGGGCGTTGTTGTCTGTTTCGTC